ACCAGACCTGCACCCCTGCACCAGACCTGCACCCCTGCAGACCTGCACCCTTGCACAGACCTGCACCAGACCTGCACCAGACCTGCACCCCTGCACAGACCTGCACCCCTGCACAGACCTGCACCAGACCTGCACCCCTACACATGTCTGCACCCCTGCACAGACCTGCACCCCTGCACAGGCCTGCACCAGACCTGCACCCCTGCACATGCCTGCACCCCTGCACAGACCTCACCCCTGCACAGACCTGCACCCCTGCACAGACCTGCACCCCTGCACCAGGCCTGCACCCCTGCACCAGGCCCACACCCCTGCACAGACCTGCACCAGACCTGCACCTCTGCACAGACCTGCACCCCTGCACAGGCCTGCACCCCTGCACCAGGCCTGCACCCCTGCACCCCCGCACTGTCCTCCTCTCTCTGGACCATCCATTCTGAATGTCCTGAGCCAGTGCAGCCAGAAGCCTCGGTGCCCGGCTCTCCCGTGTGAGCCTGTTGGGTGACTGTGAACGCTGCAAGGGCCCCCCAGGACCCGGGGGCCGCTGAGCCCCGCCCTCCTCTCTGGCTGGGGGCCGGGGCGCGAGCCTGCCCACAGCTCCGCTGTCCCTGCAGTGACCCTCTGGGATCAGCACTGGCGCACATTTCTTCTGTTCTCAAGGAGGGTGGAGGGTGGTGGGTCTGACGTGGGTCCCTGTGCTCATGACCCCCTGCAGGCCTGTGCGCCTCCCCCCAGAGGCCAAGCCAAGCTGTGATCCCGGAGTACAGGCCAGCCTTGGCTTTCCCTCCCCTTGCTCTGCAGCACAGGCTGTGGGGAGTGGCGGGGGGGGTATGGGGATGGAGAGGAGGGGGCAGGGAAAGGAGGGGAGGAGGGAATGGGGAGGGGAAGGAGAAGGGGAGGAGGGGGAGGAAGAGAGGGAGGAAGGAGGGGGAAGGGGAGGGGAGGAGGAGGGAGAGGAGGCCGCGTGGAGGGCAGCTGGGAACTGCAGTACAGGGTCTGTCCCGGGGCTGTGGGTCCCCTGAGACTTCCACAGTCTGGGCCCCACCACACAGGGTGGCAAGCCTGAAACCCGTGGACTCCAGAGCCAGTGTGAGGGAGAGCACCATCTCCCCATCCTTGGTCATGGCCCGCACCTCGGGGCTCTGGATGCAGAGTCAGTGAACACCGGTGTGCACGGTGTGGTTGCACAGCAGAGCCAGAGGAAAGGACCCTGGGCCTGGGAGTGGGTGGGACTTCCCAGGGCCGGCAGCAAGCTTCCCCGAGGGATGAGTGAACGAGCGAATCAGTGAGTGGGCACTGGGCAGGTCTGGCCCTCCATGGCCCCCGCCGCAGGGGGCCGCAGGGGCCCACAGCTTGGCGGGCGGCCGGTGGGTGCAGGTGCCGTCCACCACTTCCACGGCGCCCTGGGCCCTGCCTGCTCTCCACCAGCGTCGGCCCCGCCGAGGTGAGGTGAGGATAATGGCCTGGCACTGAAGCCTTCCTGGGCCCCTTCGGGCCGGGCCGTCCCCGGGGCAGAGGCTGCCACGCAGCCGCGTAATGGCGCTCTGAATGGAGCTCTGACGGGGATAAGTCAGGCTGAGCTAATCGAAGCTGAAAAGGTGGAATCAGCGTGCGTCCCACCCTCCCGCCGGCTTCATCAATCCCGCTAACTGGGTTTGAGCTCCGGCTCGGCCAACATTCTGCAAAGGGAAATTAATGTGTAGACATCTGAGGCCTGGTGCGGCCAGGGCAGCAAACACCCAGGCGGGCCGGCCGGCGGGGAGGCCACGCCACCGGCCGCCGGCCTGGAGAGAGCAGCCCAGCCCCACGGCCCACCAGCAATTCAATTACCTGTAGGGCCCATGCATATTCAGGCCCAGCCTGGGCTGGCCAGGAAGGGAAGGCCCCAGACAAAGGAATCTGTATTTACCCAGTAATAAGTTCCATTTGGAGGAGGTTTGAAAACAATTCCCCGTCACATTTGTCCCTGTCAGATCGCATTATTCACAAATGAAGTTCACAAAGTATCAATTCAATTTCAATGAGGCTCGCTAGCGGGCGGCTGAGTTTAGCCCATCCGGCTGGGGGGCGGTGGACGCACGGCAGTCAGAGGTAATCAAAGGCCGGCGCAGTAACGCGTTCCATTTCACCCCCTTTGTGCACATCTGTTCCTGAGTAATCCCATTTTCTACACTTCCAAATCACTGAAGACGGCCACAGGGGTTGCTTGGCCGGGGAGCCTGGGCCGGGCAGCAGAGCCCGTGCCCGCGCCGCAGGGGCCCGCCCACGTGCCGCAGGGCTCCTCCGGCTGGTTCTCCCAGGCGAGGCTCTGCAGGACCCTCTTCCGGAGCGCCCAGACACTGACCCCGGCTCCATGCACCTCGGGGGGCCTCCAGGACCTTCCTGCCCGGGCTGGACCCACCTGTGTCCAGCCTCTGGCCCGACCTGAGCCCTGCCCTTTGGCCCAGGGGCGGGGCCCCCACAAGCCTGTCTTCTTCAGGACCCTCCTGGCCTAACACGGGAGGCCGCGGGAGGAAAGAGCTGTTTCTGGAACTCCAGGGTTAGCTCAGACCTTAGGGGCCCAGGTTGTGGGAGGTTCACCCCTGCTCTGGGCCTTCTTATGACCTAGGCCCTCTGACCACGTCCAGAGAAACCAGAGGCAGGTCTAGAGGGCAGGCTGGAGTTGAGGGAGCAGCCAGCAGGTGGAGCCGAGTGGCTCTTTCCCGGCCCACCAGCCGGGGTCTCCACCCAGACTGTCATCTGGGGGTGCGTGTGTCTTTAGGGTAGGTGAGGGTCTAAATTTTGCACATGAGAATCGTGGTGTGTGTGTGTGCACACTGTAAGGGGAAATGCATACATACAGAAAGTGTGTGTGCACA